TGGAAAACAATGAATTCAATTCAATTCAACTTAGGCGCATGTACTGCTCTGAACAATGCTGGCTATACCCAGAGGTAGACTTCTAAAACAGAACAATGCAACATTGACCATGGCACATTCGGCGTGAAATCGGAGTTGCAACCGACCATTCGGACTAGTCTGAAAGGTATCTCTCTATGGCAATAGGGACCATGGCAACGAAGCAAGCGGAATGTACATGTAGACGCTAGCTATTTCATTCTTATGGGCGTAGCGGACGAGGTCACGAGGAGGATCAAAGTGTGTGTTGCTATTTGTTGCAGCTGTTATGGCCGGTGTTTTCAGAGTTGTAGACGTTGTTGTGAGTTTTTAAGCAAAGTACAGCTTTTCGATCGCATTCACACGTTATCGTCGCGCAGGGGCTATTACTGAGACCTGCATGGGATTAAGATACAGAGGCAGACGATTACCCTATGTTGAGGCAGAAGATTGTAGTGCTATCGATAGACTGGTGGAGTTGGTGTACATAAATCGCCGCGTGTAAAATTCTAACAATATCGTGTGAAGAAAAGCTTACATTTCTGTATAGAACTGATGCCAATGACGTCATAATACCAGAGGATGGAAAAAGCTGTGCATGCAATGCCAGTCCTTGCTAATTGTAGTATCCCTGCCCGACCAATACGGAAGCAGTACGGAACTAATACGGAGCTTTGCCTGATGTATATTTAGTGTATCTCCGTATGTAAGCGTACGGCAGCTGCTGCATAAAAGCGGCTGCGCATTTCTGTTTTGATGAAGATGAGACTTTGATAATAACGAGCTATTCAACCTCCAGGTGTGTACCGGAGAGAAAGTTATTTATTTGCCGCTTCTTCTTTCACTAATAATTATATCTCAGGTGTGTACCTGAAAGAAGTAGAATAAAAGTAATTATTGTTGATTTCACCGCGCCTACCACTCGGCTACCCATTACATTGGTGGCAGCGGTGTAGTTTTAAATAAAACAACGTGATTCGACCCCAGACTCCGATGGCTCAACCCGCTACAGCTCCGTGCGACGAATCAAGATGCGAATCATGTTTCTTGCCTTCCTCGGCCTGGCACTGCTTATTAGCCTGCAGCTCAGTCAGGGTGCTAGCGTGGATCACCTTACTCTCCACACGGCACACACTGGAGACTCCGATGGCGATTCCAAGCGACCCGCTACCTACATGTATACTACCGGTGGTGATGGCGAAGCTGATGAGGACGACAACAGGCAGGCTGGTACCCAAGACAAGGAGGGTATTCCCCAAGACCAGCAGCGTTCGATTTTCGCCGGCACGCAGTTGGCAGACGGCCGAACCCTGAGTGACTACAACGTTCAGCAGGAGTCCACTATTCACTTGGTACTTCGTCTCCGTGGTGGGATGCAGATTTTCGTCGACACTCTTCCTGGCTAGACCATCACTCTTTACGTCGCGCAGAGCAATGCTATCGACAATGTGAAGACCTCGATTCAAGACGAGGAGGGAGGTTATTTGTCTGACGCCGAGCTAGCCGCTCTGAGTGCCCGGCTCAACCAAGACGAAGATAAAACCTGGCTCGCCCTCCGCCATAGCTCCAGCCGCCGTGGTTACTAACGCTGATTCCAGGTATGGCATTTTCTTTCCTGTCTTCCTTCAGTCTCCCTGTTCTCTTCAGTCTTCCTTTATGCGAGTGTGTGAATCCAGTTTAGTTTGGTAGGCGTCTGATCATGGTGAGCCACGGCTTACCCAGCTAACGTGGGACAATGTGTGTGACACGCCCCTTATAGGTATAGTGTATTCAGTTCGGTTTTTGACCTGCGATGTTCCTGGCGGGTTGTGCCAGCGTTGTGCAGCAAGAGTGCTGTGGTTTTTCAGGTCCTATTTGGAGGACATTTCTTTCCCCTTTTAACCCAGTGAGATCGTGTGAACCTGGTGTGCTTCTACTTTATGATTTGTTATCAGTTCATTTCTTCTGTCTACTCTAAACGTTATCATTTCCGATATAATTTGCCATCTTCCGGTTGACGCTGTGTTCATAACTCTTCACTAATTTTTTGAAAATCACGAGGGCGTGATTATCTGTAGGAAGTGAGGGTGTAGTATCCCTGCCCGACCAATACGGAAGCAGTACGGAACTAATACGGAGCTTTGCCTGATGTATATTTAGTGTATCTCCGTATGTAAGCGTACGGCAGCTGCTGCATAAAAGCGGCTGCGCATTTCTGTTTTTATGAAGATGAGACTTTGATAATAACGAGCTATTCAACCTCCAGGTGTGTACCGGAGAGATTTATTTGCCGCTTCTTTTTTCACTAATAATTATATCTCAGGTGTGTACCTGAAAGAAGTAGAATAAAAGTAATTATTGTTGATTTCACCGCGCCTACCACTCGGCTACCCATTACACTAATCTATTGTTTTTTTTAACTTCTGCTAGTATGACTACTACTGTATTCACTTCGTCTTGGGGGTTAGACATGGGGAAGTTGCCATGCAGGGGGGGGGGGGGGGGGGGGAGACACCGCCTTTCGGCACCGGGAATACAGCTCATTCGACTCGTCTCTAATGAGTGAAGATGACCCACAGCTTGATTTGGTGAGCTGCGCGATGGGGATTTGAAAAACCATACAGCGATACGTGTGTGAGCGTGCGAGTGGGTATTTGCTTGTGTGCGTGCGTACATGTATGTGCGTGTGTGTGTGTGTTTGTATGAGTGCGTATGTGTGATGACATAATGTACGGGAAATTTCAGACTGGTACTGATAAGACTCGCGGTACATGTATACAGTAAAACCTGTAACTAAAGACCACCGTGACTAGCGACCAGCCTGGTACTAAAGACCACCGTGACTAGCGACCAGCCTGGTACTACAGACCACTTCGCCAGGCACGGACGGTCTCACATTCACGTAATTATGGTTGTGTGGTGCAAACCTCTAACTAAAGACCATCGGCCACTAAAGACCGCTTTCTGGCCCCAAGGGTGGTCGTTAGTCACAGGTTTTACGGTACATTGTATCTCTCTGCACTCTGATTTGCTGGGAAAGTGGGAGCTCGTCAGTAACTACTCAGATGGTGAGCCAAGGAAAATATTAAAATTGAAACAAGGAAAACGATGGGGCACAAGTTATGCGTTAGAGTCCACCAACTAAACCAGATCTTGAACACTCAGACGTGAACAAGGTAGCACCAGACTGACGAGGGGTGCTGAGATATTCCACGGCAGGGACGTGAGCTTGAGCACTGCTTGATAGCGCTAACCAACGGCCTTCCTGCTTGGAAGGTTCCTGGATACTAGTGATAATTCCAAAGAGGGGAAGGTAAGCGCCATCAAGCCAAACACAAGCTACATTCCAAGGCACAGTCGAATGATGGCTTGGTGCAATAACGGGACGGTAAGACCATTGGACAACACGGCCTGACCACAATTCGACAACGCAAAGCAACAACCACCCAACTTGGGAGGCTCAACTTCATCTTTCCTTGCCCTGGAATGTCTCAGTACTCCTCGTCAGTCTGGTGCTACCTTGTGCACGTCTGGCTGTTCAAAACCTGGTTTAGTTGGTGGACTCTAATGCATAACTCGTGCCCCATCGTTTTCATTGTTTCCATTTACAGTGAGATTAGCATTTCTATTTCCAGTGTCCACCATGGGTAAGAAGACATGAACTTTTAAAAACATGTGGCGCGGTTCTTGTACGTAAAGTGTTGCTGCTGCCACAACGGCGCTTCGCAGATCACCCTGCCACCACTATACCTCCAGTAGTACTCCCGGAACGTTAGGTTAGGGCACCACGCCTGCAGAGCGCGGTAACACTCGTTGTACGCCTTGCAACATTGGTCAATGCTGACCACCACTGTGGCACCGCCACGGCTGCCGAAACCGCACCAGCATCCGTAGTTAGCATAGCGCAGTGACGCCCTCACCATACTTGCACCGAATCATATTGAGGAAATTAACCATGGAACGCTTGCTGCGACCTTTGGCCACCGCCGAAGACCCTGCTGGTACTGAAGAACCAAGCACATCACTATCGAGGGTGGCGGAGACAAGAATGCAGAGAAAAAGAACGCGATTGTCCGCACTGCCATGTTGGATGTTGATCTAGGATCAGCACATGTGAACCAAGTTACCTCCTCAGAATGAGAGAAAAGGAAACCAAGGTGCCTAGTGTTGCAGCAATACCCTGAATCTGTTTGAACTTCAATAAAACACACCTGAGCCGGCAAGTCACTCTCACTGAAGCCAGAATGTAACCTCCTCCCCGGTTTTATAGGTTTGTGTGCAGCTCTTCAAAGTGGTTTGGCTTAGTGAATGCTAGCGCTATTGAAGTTAGTTCGAACGTTCAGGCGATACATGTAAGCTGCTAATCATGATGGCAATACTCTGGCCAGAGTACCGTACATGGATATCTAGTCCAGAGGTCTTTACGACCAGTACGGAGCCACACCGACCACCCTGTTTTGTGTTGTTCTTTTTCTATTTCCTGCTCCGCGAAGTTTGGTCTATGTGCAGCGTGAACCTAGTGGAAGGCAAGTATTGTGTGAATGGACACTAAAGAATACCATTGAAGCCACTACTCAAAGTGAGTGCTGAGACAAAACGTCACCAGCCTAGTTTCTGCCTAACTAGTTGCTGCCGAAGCTGCCACTTCACGTCACTTGGAGTCTTTTTACAGACTACAAGTGACGTACCAAGGGAAAACCGTGAGCACTTGTGCTCGCGGGTTTCCCTTGGTATAGTTGTGTTGTTGACGTTCTTACTTGACTCATGTTCCAAATGCTCACTGGGTTTTTTTATTCCAGCAGTAGCCCTAGGCGGATTATGCTCCGTAAATTGCTGAATTATGCCTTCCAGTATGCCCAAATTATGCCAGTGATTATGCTACATGTCATGATGCTGGAATTATGACAAAAGAAGTACATGCGCTGCCAATATTTTCCCATCAGGTTCGGCCTCATATTCTCGGTCCTTCGTGGAGGAGAGAGAGTCCACAAAGGGCGAAACAGTTCTGACGGAAGATGAAGTATAAAGTAAGAAATGGATCATTGTGAAATGTCTGTGGTGTGTGCTGAAATGAGCTACTGTAGGTATCTGAGGGAAGCATCATACTCGAAATACTAGCAAGAAAAGAGAAATAGAAAAATGGAGGAAAGAATATGAATCGTATTAGAACGGTAGGTGACCTGCACTGGTCCACACAATGCTGGCTACGCCCAGCGGTACTGGGGGGGGGGGGGGGGGTCTCTAAAACAGAACAGGCAACATCACCCAGTGGCAGTGATCACTCAGCGTGAAACTTGGAGTCACAATTGACCATTCTGGCTACTCTGACTGGTATCGCCATAGCAACGGGAACCAGGGCAACGAAGAAAGCCGAATGCTCATGCTACACGTGTACTGTATGCAGACGCCAGCTTCATGCATTTCACTCTCATTGACATAGCGGACGAGGAGAAAGGATGAAAGCCTATGGTGTTGCTATTTTGCGCAGTGGCTTCGGTCGTCGTAGTTGATGTTATTGGAGTTGTAGATGTGGTTGTGAGCTTCAAAACAAACCACAGCTGTTCTGTCGCATTCACAGATCGCTTTCTGGCATTCATTGTTACCGCCACCTGCAAAGAGTGAAGATACAGAGGAAAGTGAATTTAGTACTAAGTACAAGTATTATCAAGAATAAGCGGTGCGGACACAATAACTTTAAAATAAGGCAATCAGCAGAATCAGTGAAGCGGACATTGGACGCAGGAATGAACAAAAATAAAAGATGGATAATAAAGTTTGCTAACAAGTTTTCCAGAGTCCATAATATTCGTATGCATTCTTGTTATTATTAGTAGGCTGATTGAGTTTAATTGAAACAAGGAAAACGGTGGGGCACAAGTAATGCGTTAGAGTCCACCAACTAAACCAGGTTTTGAACAGTCAGACGTGCACCGTCGTCCTCGCCGCGGAAGCTTCCCTTTCATTACTCATCCTTGATATAATTCAGCCTCCCAAGTTGGTTGGTTGTTGCTTTGCGTTGTCGAATTGTGGTGAGACCGTATTGTCCAATGGTCTTACCGTCCCGTTATTGTACCAAGCCATCATTCCACTGTGCCTTGGAATGTAGCTTGTGTTCTGCTTGATGGCGCTTACCTTCCCCTCTTTGGAATTATCACTAATATCCTTGAACCTTCCAAGTTGGGAGGCTGTTAGTTAGCGCTATGGAGCAGTGCTCAAGCTCACTTCCTTGCCATGGAATGTCTCAGTACTCCTCGTCAGTCCGGTGCTACCTTGTGCACGTCTGGCTGTTCAAAACTTGGTTTAGTTGGTCGACTCTAACGCATAACTTACGACGGCACATACTTTCATGGATCACCGGTGATCGATTAATTCTACACTTTTCAAATATTTTCAATAACTTGGTCAATTCTAGTTGTTTGGAGAGAACGAAATATGTAGGAGGAAGATAAAACTTTCAGCTGTCGTCTCGAACAATTACCAATTATCAGCTTTCTTTATCCACCACGGGTAAGAAAAATGCTAACAGAAACTAGCAGGCGCATGAACTCAAACACATGGCGCGGTTCTCCTACGTACCGAAGAGCCGCTGCCATAACGTTGCTTCGCAGAACACCCTTCCGCCACTGTATCGCCAGTGGTAGTCCTCGTACTTGGGGTCCCCACAGCCTTGGGTCTCCACCGAGCCGTAACACGCATCATGAACCTTGCAACACTGGTCAATGCTGTCCACCGTGGGCCCGCCACCTCCCACACCGCACCAGCATCCGTAGTTATTGTAGCGCAGCGCTGCGCTTAACGCATCGCCCACGTTGGGTAGGACGCACGAAATCATAGTGCCGAAATCGAGCAGCGAACGCTTGCTGCGACTTTGGGCCACCGCCGAAGATCCTGCGGCTATTGATGAACCCAGCACAATACAGATCGTAGCCAAGACAAGAATGCAGAGAATACCGCCTGCCCGCATTGCCATGGTGGACGGTAGCCTGATCGTGGATTCAACGTGAAAGAAGAAAACTCACAAGGTGAGGAGAGGAAATGAACGGTGGCCTAATGTTCAAGCGCTGCCGAAGCTCTCCGAATGTCAATAAAATACACCAGGGCTGACCCGTCACTCTCACTGAAGGCAGAATGTAAACGCTTCCCTGTTTTACGTAGGTTTGTCTGCGGCTCTTGAAAGTGGTTTGGCTCAGTGAATGCTAGCGCTAGTGGTGTTTAGTCCGAACGTTCAGGCGATACTTGTAGGCTGCTAATCGATATCATGATGGGAATAATCTGGCCAGAGTGCTGTGTTTGGGATATCTAGTCCGGATATCTTCAGGACCAGTACGGTCCCACACCGACCGCCCTGTTGTTTGTCGTTCTTTTGTATAAAGTTTGATTCTCACTAGTATTCTGTCTGCAGATCTGCTACGCAATGCTGTAACAATCTATTTCCTGCTCCGCGAGGCTTGGTCTATGTGCAGTGCGAGCCTAGTGGAAGGCAAGCATTGTGTGAATGGACACTAAAGAATACCACTGGAGGTACTAATCACAGTGAGTGTTGACGAAGAGCAGCCACTAGCGTAGCTAGGCAAAGACTTTGCATGACATTTTTGTCTTCAAGAGTGTGATGCGTTCAGGTGTGGAAAGGAGGACGGGTTCCACTGCAATTACGTACAGTACTTAGAAAAAACGAATAATATATCACTGCACTCGCTCAAACCGGAAATACTGCTACTGCGTTGCCCCCAAACTTCACCAGAAGTGCATTGTACGTGTACATGTATTATGTATGTTCGGATTCATCACAAGCTACTACCGCTTGGATTGTGGTGTTGCCTGAAGTGTGCGTTTGGAAATCCGTTTCGTGATGTTGCCAACAGGGTTCGGTCAAAGAGATTGGGATACACCGAAGTGCTGTATACTATAGTAGTATGACTTCTAATCCTGGATTCATGCGGGAAGGACACGTTGCCAGTGTCCCATACGCTACGCGTAGAGATGAGGATTCACTTTCTAAATCCCAGCAGCAATTTCGCTGGCACGTGAAGAGTTAATAAATTTTCCTGTCTTGGTATACCTCGGAACATTTGTAGACTAGGCATGCAGATCTTTAGACTAGGCATGCAGATCTTTAGACTAGGCACGCAGATCAATGCTTCCAAGACCAAGTCAATGGCAGCGCCGGAGGGCGGTGGTGATCTGGGGTGCATTCAAGTAGGCATTGAGCGAATAGAAGAGGTATCCCAGTTTTAAATACTTAGGTGCCGTAATCACGTTGGATGGCAAGTCCGATGTGGAGATACATGTAAGAAGACGCTTAGCACTAGGGAAGCAAAAGATCATTGAGCTTCAATTCATTTGGAAATCGCCATCACTTTCTTTGCCTACTAAATTTCGTTTTGTTAGGTCTATTGTGCTAGCGACTGTTTTATACGGATGCCAATCTTGGACATTATCTGCCTCAGCAATGAGAAGAATTTCATCCTTCGAGATGAAATGCTTCCACCGACTCTTAGGAGTAACATACCACGACCGGCGTACCAACCAATCTATCCTGGAAGAAATCAATGACATCATCGGAGCAAGGATGCGGCTAGCGAACGAAGTCAAGAAATTTAAGTTGATGTGGTTTGGCCATGTTACGAGACATGACGTTTTCTCCAAGCCCTTCCTGCAAGGATCAACTCCTGGATCTCGACCGAGAGGAAGGCCCGCGACATCATGGATTTCTAACATTAAAAGTTGGACGGGTCTTCCCTTGCATGCTCTCTCTCATGCAGCTCACGATAGAGTTGGATTCAGAGACATCATTCACAATTCTCTCGCTGATTAATGCCTCTACGATCACCTTGTGATTATGAGTTATACATACATACATACATACATACATACATACTCAATCTGCGGACAGAACTGTTTCGTCCTTTGTGGACTCGTCAGCGCAGCACAGAGGAAATGAGGCCGAACCTGATAGCAATGGAAATAAAAATTAATAAAAATTTACATACATACATACAAGCATGTTGCATTGCTCGTTATGTAGCACAGAGTGTCCTCACTGTTTATTTCTATCGCATCAGGAGATCTCCTTGATAGTTCATACATGTAACTTCTGGGAAATTCTTTAACAAAAGATTAGTTCAAGGCATTGAATTTTAAAGCGTTTCTTCAGAATTCCCAAACTCCATTGCAGCGTATTTCTTGCACTTGAAAACACCGCCATTCCGGCAACAGGCTCTCAGCTGCACCAAATAAATAACTTTGCAAATATTTCGCCCATTGGGCATCATCAGGGCATTTAGGAAGGGGAGGCCAAATTACGAAATAATCGGAAATATGAAGACGAATAATGCAGGCAGATGAATGTTCTAGAACTAACACATCGTGGTGACACAATTGGCAAGGCCAGAAAACTAAACAATCATCACTTGTAAGGTGACCTAAACAAAACGAAAGATGAGAAAACTCACACATGAGACCGCTCGGTCTCACCAACGTACAATTCCGCACACAACGTGCAAGACATACAATAGACAACACCTTTGACTAAGCACTGACTATCCACCATACTCGTATCACATGCACGACACTCCCTTGGTCGACCTCTCCCTCTCTTCACCTCCGATCGCTGCTTCTCACGGGGACACACACGTACAGCACTCGACGATCGGACCAGCATATCCTTCAAAGAAGGACCAGACACAAAGACAACACGAACATGCGGACTGAACTTTCGAACACGTCGTGAGACACGAGCGGCAAGTGAGTCGTTGATGAAGGGCAGTTTGATGACTGACTTGAATTGGTTGTGTCTGCGCTTGCTGTCAAGCTGCTGTTGTTGAGACGGGTGTGTATCTTGTCTCTTCCCCTTGGCTGCTCGTCGTGCTGCGTTTATCTCGGTGCGTGGATAGTCATTTCTCTCGAGCAACTCTTCAATTATGGACATGCTCCTGTCTTCCGCTTCCGGTGTTGACGAGTTACGGATAGCTCGAGAGAATTGGTTCGTTGCAACAGCTCTTTTACACGACCAGGGGAGACATGATTCATAAGACAGGTGGACACCACTGTGGGAAGGCTTAACATAGAGCTCCCACTCTATGCTGTTTCCACGCACAGACAGCGCTAGATCTAGGAAGTTCACTGACTGAGTTTCGTTGACCGAGTGTTCCATTGTGAATTTGATAGTAGTGTGCTGGCAGTTGAAGTGATCTAGAAGTGCTGTTAAACCTTTCCAGCCGTGTCTCCACAGTAGTATGCAGTCGTGGATATATCGTTTGTAGTATCAGCCCAGCCGGCACCAGGCCGGTCTGGAGGTAGTTACAGGGTAGAAGAGAAGAGTGGTGAGTAGTAGATAGTCTAGGTAGTACTAGTACTTAGTAGGTAGACACAGGTAGCTATGCCGGCCAGAACTGCCACTCGCAGCCTGACGGAATCGGAAATAAAACTTTTGAGCTCCATCCCTGAAATTGAATCGTCCGTCTTTGAAATGGTCAAGACGCTGTCAGCGCTCGTGTCGGAATCTGCAAACCGGGAGGTCCGTCTCAAAAACAGGATTGACGAACTGGTCATGCAGATAACAGGACTGAAAGAGGAAGTTGTCGCCATGAAGGAGTCCGCCATTGCAACGGCAAGTGTTACCTCTCCTCCGGCTGAACAACAGCCCCAGATGCAGAGTACGGCGAGGCGGAAGGGATCTCGTAGCCGTACGCGAAGAGACCAGGTCACCAAGTGCACTGGTGCAGCAGCAGGAGAACACCGTAGCGCTTTCAAACGCGTACACGTGGATGACACTGGCAGTGATCGTGAGATCTCGAGCGAGGAAGACGAAAGTTTTCAGACTGTTGGGCGCCCTCCAGTCAAGCCCCAGAAAACATCGTTCGACCCAATCGCTGATGAATCGTGGAAACTAGTATCCAAAGAACCCCACCAAACAAGGAAGGCAGTCGTGTATGTGGGAAATCTGCACGCGGATTGCACAGAGGAACGAGTGACAGAGTTCACTCAGCAGCGATCTGTGGCCGTGGCCAAATCCGTCAAAGTCCATGAGTGCAGCATGCACACCACGGAAGACGGGAAAGTCTCAGCCCGATTGACGCTCGACGCCACTGGATTACAAACAGTCACTGCTGCGAACTTCTTGCCACGACCACTTTACGCTCGAGCCTGGCGACACCGCAAACGGCCGCAGGGTGACAGCTCATCTGGTGCAGCTGGCGCCGGCAACGTGGGCAGCAGAGGCGATAGGGACAGTGAGGAAGAGGCTGCCTCAGCTGGAGCGATTCAGTCACACAAACACCAATGAACACCAGCTGCGCAAGGACATACCCAGTAATGAAGCTCCTGCTGACAAATGCTTTTGGGCTGCTGTCAAAGTTTGGAGCCTTCCAGCATGCTGTTGCACGGAGCAGATCTGACATCGCCATCGTAACAGAGACTAAACTCACCCCGGAGAAAGCCTCACTATCTGACTCCTCCATGCCGGGCTTCCACCCACCCCTCCGACTTGACCGATCTGCTCAAGGTGGCGGAGTTGCAGTCTGGGTCCGGGACTCCCTCTCCTTTGACCACCTGAGTGACATCAACTGCCATGGCCATGAGGTCATCTGGCTTCGCCTGCACCTGGACAATGGCCAGAAAGTAGTTGTATGTGCAGTGTACCGACCCGGGTCGTGCCCTGGACAAGATGTCTCTCTGCTTGAGTATCTTGACTCAGTCATGGATCAAGCTCGATCCCTCGGGAACAGCGTCGTAATAGCCGGGGACTTAAATGTTCATAATGAAAGCTGGCTATGCAGCACGAAGACTACACCGGCTGGTGAATACATGGAAGAACTCTCTGCGTTCCACGGGCTCCACCAGCACGTTACTCAACCGACACGTGGTGAGAACACCCTGGACCTCATACTCAGCGACTTCTCGGAGACCTCAGTGGTGGTAAATGTACTGGACCCCATTGGAGCATCAGACCATGCCACCGTTGTGGCCACTTTTGATGCCACCCCACTCCGCGAACCACCGACTAAACGGCGCGTTTGGAGGTATGCTCAGGCAGACTGGGGCCGGCTTCGGCACTTCTACTCAACAGCAAACTGGGATATATCAGAAGACCCCGAGGCGTCGTGCAGATCAGTAACCGCTGTTGTCATGGAAGGCATGAATCGCTTCATTCAACACAAAGAACTTTCGACGAAACCAACAGATCCATCCTGGTGGACGCCGGAATGCTCAGCCGCTACCCAGGCAAAGAAGAATGCATGGAACCGTCTCAGGAG